GTTCATTATTCATAACAAGTTTTAGTAGAAAATTTTATTCTATTTACATGAATTTATTATAGTGACATACTAATGGCGCATAGAAAAAAACTAACACATGAAGAAATCATGAAACTGATGCAAGAACTATCTGATGCCGATTCCAGTTCTCAAATTGAAAATAATTCTACAGATAAAGATGGAGATGAAACATCTTGTGATTCTGAATTTATTACAGAGAGTAATCAGGCAATATCATCCTCTAGCTCAAGTGAAAGAACAAATGGATTTGTTTCTACAAGTTCAAATATTGCCGTACCTAAGAATGCCAAAGAGGGAACTAGTAGACGCTCAAAAGGGAATATGAAATTCAACGTAATTCAGACAAACACTTGTAAAGAAATTGCTAGTGATGGAACTGTATGGAAAGTAGAAAATACTCCAAATACTTCTGGCCGGGGACCCTTGCAAAATATCTTGCGAGAAAATGCAGGACCGACATCCTATGCTAAACGTCACATTTGTTCTGATAAAGCTCTTAGTGCGTGGAAGTTAATAACAAATGAAAAAATTTTACGCATCATAAAGAAGTGTACTGATGCTGAAGCCAAGCGTAAACTTCATAATGACTCTTTCACTATTTTATTAGCAGAACTGGAAGCATTTATAGCGTTGTTGTATGTAAGGGGAGGCATTAGCTGCCAAGGGCTTACCAATTCTTAGTTTGTGGTCCAAGACTTGGGGACCAAAGTTTTTCATGAAACTATGAGTAGAGATAGGTTTCTGGAAATTATGAAATTTCTTCATTTTGATAAAAAACTAACAAGGTCTTCATGTTTGCAGTGTGATAAATTTGCACTAATATCCGAAGTATGGAGTACTTTTATAGAAAACTGTAAGCTTTGCTACAAACCAAATGAAAACATTAAGATTGATGAACAGTTATTCCCTACAAAAACAAGACGCTATTTTTTGCAGTATATGCCTAACTACCCCGATAAATTTGGAATAAAATTTTGGCTAGCAGTAGACGTTAGGATAAAATACTTATTAAACGGATTTCCACATTTAGGAAAAGATGAAATGAGACCAAGTGATCATAGTTTAGGAGAGAACGTAGTAAATCGTTTAGTTGATCCTTACAAAAAATCTGGCTGAAATATAACTACAGACAGTTTCTTTAAATCAGTAAAACTTGTGAAATCTCTAAAATCAAAAGGATTGAGTCATGTTGGAACAGTAAATCGCGCAGAAAGAGAAATTCCCTCTAGTTCCAAAATGTAAGAAACAAACTTTTTTCTTCAGTTGTGATGAAACACGACTTTATAACACTTACAGCACATTAAGGTAAAAGGAACAAAAACGTAATTTTGTTAAGTACACTCCATTCATCAGTTGAATTTGAATCTAATGAAAAGAAGGTTCCTGATATAATACAGTTTTACAATTCTAAAAAATTCGGGGTAGATGTTTTGGATCCAATGGCAAGAAAGTACTCCGTGAAAGCATTATCACGCCGTTGGCCAGTACATGTATTCTACAATATTTTCGACTTAGCAGGCATAAATGCGTGGATTCTGTATAAGGAAGTTACAAAAGAAAATATCAGCAGAAGGGATTTTCTATTGCGTTTGGCAGAAGAATTAAGAGAAGAATATATATCTAGTAAAAACAAATTTGTTCTCTTCAAGTAGCTTTGTGGATGGACAAGATTCAATAGAATCAAAAAACAAGGAAGAAATGTCAAGTAAGGAAATGCAGAGGTAACAAAACTTCTAATATTTGTGACAACTGTAATAAATACAGTGGTGGCCAAAATTGTGGACACTTTTGGAATTTTTTATGTTTTTGAACTTTGTATACATATAGAAAATATTACGTTTCGCAAAATGCAAACTTGTATATATCATTTTAAAGAGAATTTATTACTGAATTCAATACAAAACACAAAATTCAATTATTTGCAATACAAAACAGTTATATGTACTTTAATATAAATAAAAAACACAGTTTTGAAGTGGTTTGTAATGTCTAGCTTTCCTGGCCAATCACTGTTCTTGTTCTGAGAACCAATCAAATGTTAGTAACTGCCAGTAGAAGCTGACATCATGTTTACACTTGAAACAATTCATATTGTTTTGCTTTGTTCTGTAGAAGGAGGACCTGTTTCTTATACACTGTAATTACAAGTAGGAATTTTTGTAAAAATTTTTAATATTTAGTTAAGAAGCAATGACATCAAATAAAAGAGTAGATTGGACACCTAGAAAGAGATGTAATATTATTGTGTTACGAGAAAGTGGTCTTTCCTATGCTGAAATTGCAAGACAGGTGGGCGGTTCAGTGACTACATCTGGAGTCCGAAAGTTTTGTTTACGATATCAGGAGACAAATTCAATAAAAAACAAAGAAGGGAAAGGCCGAAAATGATGCACCATTTCTATTCATGATAGAAGAATAAAAAGACTATGTCTCCAAGATAGAAAAATGTCATCAGCGGCCATCAGAAGTGATCTGAATGATGCTGGTGTTTCTGTCAGTTCAAGAACAATCAGGAGAAGATTAACAGATGTTGGACTGAGAGGTAGAATTCCACGAAAAAACCCTTATCTTAATTTTCAGCAATGAAAAGAAAGACTACATTGGGCAAAGGAACACATTAATTGGACAGATGATCAGTGGTCACAAGTTATATGGAGTGATGAAACTAAGATATCGTTATTCGGTAGTGATGGGCAAAAATATGTAAGACGTAGAATAGGAGAAGAGCTACATCCCTGACTGCATTCAAGCAACTGTGAAGAACCCAGTTAGTGTTATGATTTGGTCATGCATGTCAGCATATGGTATTGGTCACCTTCATGTCATCGATGGGACACTGAATGCCAGAAACTACATTAACACTATTCTAGAACCAAAACTTCTACCTTCCATCAGAGATCTCTTCCCCAACAATGCTTCGTTTATTTTTCAGCGGGATTCTGCTCCTTGCCACACGGCCAAAATAACGAAAGAGTGGTTTTGTACAAAGAGCATTAAATTGTTGTCACGGCCAGAAAACAGTTCTGACCCCAATCCTATCAAAAATTTGTGGCACCATTTGAAAACTCTTGTCCGAATGAGGTGCCCATCAAATAAAAGGGAACTAATTGAGGCTATAATTGTTTCCTGGCATCATGTAATAATGAAAGAAGAGATTAAAACTCTTGTCAGCTCAAAGAAATGTCGATGTGAAGCTGTAATCAAAAATAAAGGGTACCCTACTAAGTACTGATAACTCACTGCAATCATCACTGTCTAATGTATATCGATAACTATTATCGTTTAACTTTTTTTGTATTGCAAATAATTGAATTTTGTGTTTTGTATTGAATTCATTAATATATTCTCTTTAAAATGATATATACAAGTTTGCATTTTGTGAAACGTAACGTTTTCTATAAGCATACAAAATTCAAAAAGATAAAAATTTCCAAAAGTGTCCACAATTTTGGCCACCACTGTATGTATGTGGATTTTGTACACAAAAAATCAGAAAGATAAGTGTGCGTGCTAATTGCTGCGCTGACTAATATATTATCTGTAAATAAAATATTTCTATATATTTCTATGTACTCTTTATAGGAAAAAGTTTGTTTTCATATACTTTAATATTTGGATTAAAAACCACTTTTTGGGAAAAATTTGCATAAATATTTATACATTTTATTTTCTGTGTTTCTGAAATGTACGCTATCAAAAATGGGGAAAAAAAAAAAAAAATTGCATTTTCCGATGGAAATATTTAAATGCTTGTTCATTATTTGACTACATACCTGTAAAGTCTCTATATTCTTTAAAATAAACTGTAGTTGTCATAATTTGCGTTATTTTAATTTTTTTCACAAATATATCATATAGAGAAATATGCAGATATCTTATCAAAGGGTCAAAATGACACCCGCCGTAATTCTAGGTATATGAAGACCACCGTAATTCTAGTGTTAACATTCTAGTGTTAAAATTGGAAAAGAATGAACGAGAAACTTAATATTTGCACATAATCATAATTGTAACAGAACTTTAACATGATTTTTCACAATTATAGTTATTCCTAACATCTTTTGGCAGATGATGAAACTGACTAACAAATTCAATAATTTTTGTTCATCAATTGAGTTATTTAATTTTTATACTTTTTCTGGGGTAATCAATTTTTCTTATCGGATTAGATACAACAAACTCTTGGCCATGGAAGTTCATTATAGTGGGGTTTGGGTGTATTCAGGATTTGTTTTCTATTCTTAAATATATTTTGTAGAAAATTATAAAGAATAACAATGAATGTAAAAATGCATATGTCGGTGTGATATCAGCATTACCTACAGAAACAAAACCACACATCATTTGTAATTTCTGATATGATGATGATTTTCCATCACAAGCAATTATTCCGTATGCAGTATATTTCAAAACACAGAATTTCTACCAACATCAATGGTATATAAAATACACAAAGATGTTTGACAAAGAAACAGGGCACAGTATTTCAAAATAATTCACTAGCAGCTGGTTAGTAAATACAAAAGAGCAGATTAAGATTTACAGAACTGCATGACGTTTATTAAACAATCAAGATTATTACAATATCAATAATGGTTTTACTCCTCTGATTTAATGTACTACATCATGTAGTATTTAATTAAAATAAAAATCTTTCAAAGGTCCTGAATTACAACAAAGAGATTTTGAGACTTAAGGGAAAAAACTAAAATTCAACTCTTTTTTAATAAAAAAAAAACTAAGTATGAACATGCCATAAGAGGAAAAACCCCAAAAAGAAAATACAGCTAAAGAGAAAAGACCCTATGATAAATGAAACGTTAAAAATTTGTCCAGATATGTTAATTTTGATCAGTCAACTTATCCTACATTTAACAACAATACTGAGCTAAAATTAATTTCCTTTCAATATATTTATATAATTACAAATCACATTTTATTAAATAATACAATTATATTTCTGCAAATAAATATATTACCCTGACGCATTTTTTCAGAACAGCATCATTTAACATTCCAGATGTGAGATCTGTACTTGGTAGTGTGTTGCATAAATAATCACATTTTGGCAACATTTCATCAATATTTGTATATATCCTATAAGGAGAGGGAAAAAAATGCATAAAACATTTTGTATGCCAATGCATATTTTCATTTAAAACTAGAATAAAACTTAATACTCTTAACCAACTATTGGCTACAGAAAGCCTTCACATATAATAAAGGTCCTTAAAATATAAATATTTTGGAATGTATACTAAATATAGTTATGTGATACAAGGAAGAAATTCTCATTTTTTATATTGAATTTATCATATTCTTTAAACGTCTTTAACAGCATAATTAAATTTATAATGAATCGCATGATATCACAGCTTGTGAATAGACACAAACACAAATTGACATGAAAGAAACTAGCACAGTATTCTTATCCAGCATTTAAAAAAAAGGCAGATTTAATTACTAAAAATTACATGTATACATTCATGTTAAAATAGCATGCAATAAAATTCATGCCATAAAAAGCATGCAATAAAAAGGGAATAAAATGTTAAAATAGCATGCAATAAAAAAGGGGAACTAAAACACTAAATCAGTGAGCCAGGAAACCATTTCTCTTTATAAAAATGGATGAATTTCAAAAGATAAATATATATTTTATAAAAAAAAAATTAAGTTATTTCAGTGTATTGTATGTAAAATGAGTGAACTAAGAAATACAAGATATGAAGACTGAACGGTTACAGCTGAAAACATCGCGGAGAAAACAACGCAAGGCGAAAACGTCGTGCTACAAAACATCGTGGGAGAAAACATCGCCGTTCTAAAACATCGTCATCGAAAATAAAGCGGTTCAAAAACTTCGCAGTTTAAAAACATCGTCGTCGAAAATATCGTGGTAAAAAACAAAGTATCTACGAATCATCGCATGACGATAACAGCGCAGACATGCTTTTTTCAGGCTTTAATAACTATAAACGGATATTCCCGTAATGATTTGTGAGCGCAAGATGGAAAGAAAGATAATTTTTACTTTCATATTTTTTATTAATCAATAAAATTTTGCTGAGAAAATAAAAAGGAAACTTAAGCATAGAAAATTAATGCAACTTATAGCACTTAATAGAATTTTAAACCGACATAGTTAACTAACAAAGATCATTAATAAATCATTCTTTTATAAAGTTTTTACTGGTAATTTTTCATGAAAAGTATAATCTATAAGTTGCATTTAATTTTCTATGCTTAAGTTTCCTTCTTACTTTTTCAGCAAAAAATGATTAGTTAATAAAAAACTGTGAAAGTAAAAATTATCCTTTTTTACATCTTGCGCTCACAAATCGTTATGGGAATATCCATTTACAATTATTAAACCTGAAAAAAGCATGTCTGTGATGTTATCATCATACGATGATTTGTTTATTTTTTACCACGATATTTTCGACGACGATGTTTTTAAACTGCGAATTTTTTTAACCGCTTTATTTTCGACGATGATATTTTGTATCGCGATGTTTTAGAACTGCGATGTTTTCTCTTTGCGATGTTTTCTCCCATGATGTTTTGTAGCACGACGTTTTCGCCTTGCGTTGTTTTCTCCGCAATGTTATCGGCGGACACCAGACTGAACAGACTTAGAACAAGTTGAAAAAAATTCTAAATACATAATTTATTCCTTAAAAATTTAATACACACAACATAATCAGAATTACTGTTTTATTCAGACGCAGCTGTATTCACAATAATGTAAATATCATTTTGATTTTTTCTTGCTTACAGTAACTCACATTTTTTAACACATTACTGCAAATTTGTGTTAAATAGGAAACTTCAACTGTATCAGGATTCATAGCCACATTTTAGTTAAAAAAATAAGCACCTATAAGCACTTTTCAAGCACATTTTAAGAAAAAAAAATAAGCACCTGTCTAATTACATCATACACAACTGCATAACCTTAAAAATTAGACTTGTAATTTAAAATATGAGAAATGCAGTATTTATTAAGAGAGAATAAGCATTACCTCAACCATGGAAAATAATTACTTTTTTTTTTTTTAATTTTAAATAACAGTTCAATTTACAGAACTAGTTTACAATAAGAGGGAAAAAAACTATGCAGAACTAACCTATATTACAAGATCTAATGATGAAATTTCAGTTCAAAATAGAGAAAATAAATAATAATAAGGCATATTTATTGTATTCGCTTGGAACCTAATAATAAATACAATTTATTTTTCCACTTATATTGATATTTAAATAATTTAAATCTAAATTCCGAACGATTTCTAAATTTTCATCGTATATCAGTTTTCCCTTAACAGATATTGCAAGCAAAGTAATTTAAGTAAAAAAGAGGAGCATTTCTGAAATCAGAAGACAGAAATTTGCTTCATGCAGTCATCCTTTAACAGTAAAAGCTTAACTAACCCGCAAACTTGGAAATTGGCTAATATTCGGATAGTCGAGCGTAACTTGAAAAAGTGGAGCAGAGGTGGGGTAGACGGTAGCTTTAGATGTTTCCGCTAAATAAATGCTTTCGACATTTCGATATGTGCATCATATAAAAAATAAACCAAATGCACTGAAAAAAATTCTGCTTAGCAAGCACAGTAAAACTCTTTTAAGTGTTCATAAACAAATTTCAGACAGAACACCAAAATTAATTATCTCTGCAAAATTATTGCAAAAATATCGCAAACGTTATTGCACAATACGTGAGCCGTAATTCTTCCCTACGTGATATTACGCAATCGGAATCAACAGCTGCCAATATTGGGAGAATAAAGAACTAAATAACTGGGGTGTTTTTCATTCTAATTTTCAACAGACGGCGTTAAATTTCCGGAATAGAATCATTCTTCGCTTGGGTTGGTAGACCACAGAACTTTTCAGTCCTATTCAAACCAGATTAGAAAGTGACCAAAAAAAAAAAAGTCCGTTGCTTGTTTTGCAGCGAACCGTAACAGTTTCATTATTCGAGATTTTGCAGAGAAAAGGGAGAACCTCCCAAACTTCGTACTGTATAATGTATTGGCCAAAAAAATGAAATTATTTTGACTATTTGATTACTTCGATTACTTTCCCTTTATTTAAGCCATTATTCCTTAGAAAGCTAATCTGTGTTAAAACACAACCATTTTTGAAAGTTTACTATACTTCAGCAGTTACTGCAACTATGTTATTATAAACATTCATACATATACTCATAATATAAGCATAATGATCATAATAAACATGAATATGAACTGATCAAGTGGATCCAGAATGCAAATTATTAAGATCTTGATAGAAATTCAAACGCGTGTAGTATTTGGGTGGGAGGAAAAGAATGCCGAATGTACCGGAATTTTATACTGCTTTCGCAATTCTTTGACCAATAGAACGACGGGCACCTGTCTGTACTCTTCGTGCACACCAAAGGTTATGTTAATGCAGAGAAAGGGGGGAAAGCTATTTCCGGGAGTATGATTCACCATCTGATATTTCATATTAGGAAGAAAAGTTGCTTATTTAGTTTCAGCTTTCGTACGGGGAAACATAACGCGCTCATTAAAAAAAAAGCACTAAAAACAAAAAAAAAAAAAAAAAAAAAAAAAAAAAAATAAGGGCTTTAATGAAAAAGTAAGCACCTATAAGAGCCTTTATATTTTATTTTCAAATATAAGGACTCATAAGCACTTATAAGGACTGCTACGAACCCTGTGTATACAACTACACATTCTTAAACTCACAGTTTACTTGCTAATTTACCAAACGTAAGTAAAGTAAACAGCATTACAGGATACATGATATCTCAATTCTTCAAATGCTTCAAGATATTTCAATTATTATTTCAATTTCTTATGGGTTGTGATAAATGCTGAAACTTGAATAAGCTAGAACCAATTGAAAGTGATTGAGTTTTCTTGATTTCACCCACTGAATAAGTCTTTTTAACCTTAAAATACATGTTAGGTTTACTGGTGAATCAGAACCGTATTAGTTTGAATAAAGGTCTGCATTACGCAGAAAGCTCCTCCAAAAGAACAAGAAACTACTTCTCTATTTTGACAGCTAAGGTACTTTACACAACATTAATCTATAATTTATAGAGAGCAATGCATGCCATTCATTAGAGTGAAGTGATACAGTATATGCTTAAGTATAGTAAAATGAGAAGGAAAGAAAAGCAAAGTGACAAACTGCAAGAAAAAGGGGCAAAAACCTTTTTCTGCCAGTCTTCCACTGTGCTTCAGGTTTTTGCATATAGTTTATTCCAAACTGAATATGTGATGAATTTAAATGTATTATATATACCAATTTTATGAGAGTATAAATCACTTGCTTTTTGAAAAACATATAGAAAAAAGGATAAAGTCAATTTTATAGAGAAAAAATGACATGTTTCAGAACATTTTGAAACAATGCCACAAAGAGAAACAATTGTTATAACTAACAGAAAATTATACAAATTAATTGTTAAATATTTGTAGCAGCTTTTATGCTTCAGCTAAAACGTACTTTCAGAAACTCTACTTCACAAAAGCCTTTAGAGCAGGGGTTCTCAGGCTTTTTGTCTCTAAAAGCACATTTTAGAACATCTGTTGGATGGTGGGCACCATTTACTTTTTCAAGGTGAATTTATAGTTGTATAGAGTTATTGCACATAAAAAAGTTTCGGTTACATTTCGTTTTGTGCTGGTATCTGTGTTGGATGAAATTTCTATTTCATTAAAAATTAGAAAATTTTCACATAGACTTTTACTGAAAACTAAAACATTTTTATTGTGATCACATTGAAGCAGGCACGAGTTAAATGATCAGCAGGCAACATGGTGCCCACATGCATAGGGTTGGGAAATCTTGCTTTAGAGAATTCATTATTTATGCTTAACTGTCAAAAATCAAGGTAATAAAATCTCCAAAGAAATAGGTAAAATTTTATTTTTAAATGTGACTTTAGTATATCATAATAACATTATTGCATTTATTTAAAAAAGTTCATAACATTCACAAATCATGAGATCAAAATGTTTTACACAAACTGAAAACAAATTAAAATGGTAACTCCAATGCGTGCCAAGAGAAAATTTTAAAACGAACATTTATTAAAGATTGTGAAACTAACACACTTTTTGGCACCTTAGAAAAAAACTGTAAAATATGAATTTTGCTTACAGAGCAAAAATGATAAATTTGTAAAAGCTAACTGGTATGTGTATACATATCTATATACATACATAAGATGGTACATGCATACAAAAAGGAAACATTTTTGTTACATCAAAAAAGGTTAACAGCCAGTTAACAGAATTTATCTATAACAAAAATTTCAAATTAAAGTACCTTTCTATCTAACACGTAAATGATTAAATTTTGGTGGCAAAAGAATAAATAGCTGCAGCTACAGTGTACCCTAACTGAACAACCAGATGCTATATAAATGAGAAGAAATTTCAATTCTAGGGCAAAATTTCCATTCTAATTTGATCTCATTTACTGACATTACCTGCATCAATGCCTTACAAATGGGTCTGCCCATAGTATGAGCATATGTTACCAGCTGAAGAAAATGAGCAATCAGCTTAACTGAAGTAGGATGGTCAAACCACAATAGCACATAGCATCAAGGCATTGATGGTTGATCTAGAATGATGAGAGAATGTGCAGCTAGAACAATTATCAGAAGCCAGCATAAGGATCCAGTCAGACACCATGACTACAGGACCATTAGCAGGTGACCACTGATAGATGACTGTGTTTACAATATGCAAAGAACTTTGCCAACGACCTCTAAATCTGTGCCCACTGACAAATGCATATGTAGTGGTGTCCGGATTCATACGTCTTGGAATCTCAATGGATGGAGTAGAATCATCTTTAACAATGAGTTCCACTTTGTATTGTTCCACAATGATCAGCGAAGCCATGTCACAGCAGCAGTAAGATAGTGACATGACTGTCATTCACTACACAGCCTGACAATACTATGGTCTCCGATGCCATTCATCTGATAGTCGGACCCTTTTGGTTGTCACTCACGATACACATACAAAATGGTCGTGCATTATAGTTGCCCTTTCTGATGAACCCCAGGCTCACATTTCAACAGAATAATGTCCAGCCATAAATGGTAATCATTTGGACCATTGATAGAAGACTGTGTTTACAATATGCAAAGAATTTTGCCAACTACCTCTAAACCCGTGCTCACTGACAAATGTATATGCAGTAGCGTCAGGATTCATATATCTTGGATCTCAATGAATGGAGTAGAATCATCTTTAGCAATGAGTCCCACTTTGGATTGATCCACAATGATCAGTGAAGACATGTTAGAGCAGCAGTAAGATAATGACATGACTGTCACCCATTACACAGCCTGACAATACTATGGTTTCCAGTGCCATTTCATCTGATAGTTAGACCCTTTTGGCTGTCACTCGTGATACACATACAAAATGATGGTACATTAGGGTTGCCTTTTCTGATGAACCCCAGGCTCACATTTCAACAGAATAACGTCTAGCCACAAATGGTAATCATTTTTACAAACTGTCTTCATGCTGGTCAAACATTTTCTTGGCCAGGTAGATCACTAAATGTTTCCCTAACAGAGCATGTTTGGGGTTTGAAGACCAAGAGCCTCTGGCTGTTCCAGGATGCTGCTAGTGTGATTGGAAAGAGTTTGGCAAAAACATCTTGCAGGAGACCATTACAAAGGACTATCAAACTCAGTAACAGATTGCATAAAGACTAATGATAATTAATATCTCTCACTTTCTCTTGTTTCTGTGTGTACCTGCATTTTCTGAACAAAACATTCAGTTCCTTTAAAATTTTAATTGTTTCCTATCCATACTTATATATCACATCTACAGAATTTTGTCTCATTCAGATAACTCCTTCTTGCTGCTTTTTTGCCTCTTGCAGATATTTGTGTCTTATACTGTACTATTAGATTAACTACAGTAAAGATGAAAGATAATTTCCCAGAAGTACAAAAATAATACACTTAGCTTAATAATCACAATATAGTTTTCAAGAGACACTTACTTATCAAATAAATCAGAGTTTCTGCGTTTAGGAAGAAGACTTCGTGCAAATCCAAATACTGTGGTGCCTCTACTTTTTAGAAATTTGGCAACTGAAAAAATTTTGGCATAAAAATTAGTTTTCATATACTTACATCACTTAAAAATACTGATATTTATTGCACTGCTCAAAAGAATAATATTAAAATGTATTTGCTTTAGATAGGTATACATAATGTAACCATAATTCTTAAATTCAATTAAATTTACAGCAAGCTTATTTAAAAAGTATTGCTTCTTTTGATGGAACTGCTGATAACACATTTGGAAACTTTCAGGATGGTTATAATTAAGTTGGGGAGGAACTGATGCAATGGTTTCAATTTTTAATGTTTCTTTTGATTTCTAACAAACTTGTAAAAAAAAAAAAAAAAAAAAAAAAAAAAAAAAAAAAAAAAAAAAAAAAAAAAAAAAAAAACGAAAAACAATTAAAAAAGTATTTTACACCACGAAATACAATTCTCAAGCCATATTTTTGAAAGAAATTCACTGCTTTCTTAGAAATTTTAATTTAAATGGTCAACTTTAAAACCAGTTATGCAGTAAGAATTTGAGGGAGGGGACTTCACAAAAAAACAATTGTACAAAACTTTAACAAATTCACAATATTAAATCAAATTTAAATGCAAACAATAACTACTACTTATATGGTGTTCAAAACTAAAATAAACATTTTTTTTTACATTTTTCAAAAATTACCAATCCAAAACTCGAGAGCATGTGGTCAAATAAAAGTACTGAAACACTAGAGAAATCTTACTCATTTATACTCAATCATAATATATAAAAATCAGCAATTTTACTCATGTATGCAAGTGTCACTGCAACAACACTAGGAATAAACAGTGGCCATCTGTTGTTCTGCTCTTAGGTTGATCATGTGCTTTGGTGATAATAATACTCTTCATTGTAAAATTCTGTTCAATTTCATATGCATTGCAACAAAATAAGTAACCAATAATGCTCAAATGACAGAATGAGATGGAGAATCATTTGTAGATTTAAGGCAGAAAAACCACCAGGTACACATGCTTGGCAGTCACACATCATTCCATGTGTTTAACAGAGGGTCTATAACTACCCAGAGATCTTAAGAGTCCTAAATGTGGTCTTTCAATGATACAATGTCTTTCATATTTATTTTATGCACAACAATGTTATCGGGCTCAATTAGTGAATGAATATCTTCAAAGTGAGGACATTTGGTGGATGGACAGGCCAGACAGATCTGCAGGCCTAACCCCATTTAAATGTATTAGATGCACTAAGAAGAGCAACTGCAATCTGCTAACAACCTACAAGAATTATCATAGAGCTACAAACTGTTTTGATGTATTAGTGTGTGTGGCTGTAACAAGGATTATCATTTGTCTCATTAACAGTATTACTATTTAATGTGTTACTCCTGTGTCTTCTAGAAGTGATCATACCCTCCTATCAGACCCATTTTAAATGCCATCTTGGAGCTGCAATTTTTGGCATTCCTACTTTCAAGAGCATAACTCGCAACTATGGATCAGAAAATTCATTGCTGAAAGGTACACATTTCTGTCATATTACTCTGTATGTATAACAAATTTTATGAAATATGGCACATTTCTCTGAGAAATTTGGAAAAAAAAAAAAAAAAAAAAAAAAAAAAAAAAAAAAAAAGATTATTTCATTAGTTTTAAGCATAAGTGTAGCTAATAAATTAAGGACAAGGAATTAATCTTCATATTACATTTTGATAATTCTTGTATGTTTGAACTTAATCAATTGATTCAAACATACTGACATGTATTTCAAAATCATTTAGAATAATGTTTATTTATTTGCAATTTAAGCCATGATTAGTAAACTATGGTCTCAGAGACATCAACAGATGTATTTTTAAACAGGGCAAAATTTCACCAGCTCCAGTAAAGAGCCATTTTTTTAAAGATACATAAAGACAGGTAATAAAGCTGACTAATACAAAACAAATTATTCATGTTCAACAGTAAAATTTATTTTTCATGGTGTTTTACAGAAAATTTATACACACAAATACTTGAGTGATTATATTTTAAATAGATGTTAAATTTTTTGAAGAGAATCAAAATATTTTTTAACTTTCAATCATTATGCACATTTGTTGTACAAATGCATATCCTATTTTTAATATCAAAATAATGGAACAGTTTAATGGAATAGTTGTATTGCTGTTACACGAGTTAATATAAATTTTGTTTCAATTCATGATACCAGTTACTGAAGTGCATTACAAATTTCATAAAAATTAAATGAAAAGAAAAATGAATATTTGATGTTAAGTTTTCTATCCATTTAATGTTCAGTTCACAAAAATCAATGAGACTTCAAGAAAATGCATAATTTAGCAATAGAACAAAAATTAGCATATTTAGTTATCCTAAGCAATAGTACATTATCTGATGAAAAAATATCACAGAGCATACATATTTCTTAATTGGCTCTAGTGAGTCAATAGATCTGTTTGCTGCAAATCAGTAAGTGCATTTAAACCATACCATTAGTCTACAAACTAAATGTGTGTAATATATAAGAAAATGGAATGAACTTTAAAAATATAAATAGCCACATTGGCATGATAGATAGTACTTCATGAAAATCGCACACTGTCATTCAGAAATACAGCTGATTACCTTTAATATGGTTACTGGATTGAAACAGCTTCGTATTCGGCACTAATGTTAGCAGACACATTCTGCAACTTTCAGACAGAAAGCCCTTTAACAGGGGAACTTAAGCAAGACACGCAAAGGATTTAACGTAAAGCTTTATGATGGACAGCTGACACTAATAACATATTTATAAAGATAAAACAGCTCTTTTAGAGTCTTTATTTTTATATGGAATGTCATATATTTCTCAACCACATCCTTTGGGTTAAAAATATCATTTCCAGGGATGAAGAGCTCAAGTCATAAAAATGTAAGAAAAAAATAAATGAGCACTTTGTATTTCAACTAGTTGCACTGCTGTGGAGTCATTAGGTTATTTAAAAGCAGGAGATGAAAAAAAAAGCAATGGCCTTGCCGAGACTCGAACCCTGGACCTCTTGAATATGTGCCGAGTGTGCTGACCATTACACAATGAAGGCATGCTAGGAAGGTGGGAGAAATGCCATATATACTGCCCCTTTTAAAGGTGACTGGGGATTAAGGGACCGAATCCTGGTGGTGAAGAATCATCATCCACCACCTTCTTAAGTATGAGCACCGCTGTAGAGTCATTAGAATTTTTTGAGACAGAAGTCATGAAAAATAAGCAATGCCCTCGTTGGGATTCACACCACGGACCTCTCAAATACACGACGAGTGTGCTGACCACAACACCACGAAGGCATGCTAAGAAGGCAGGAAAATTACCTTATAGCTGTTCTTCCAAACGAACTCACCAGTTTAACTGAATATTTTCACGAACTGCATTAAAGGCAACCTAACTCTGGCTTTTTAGGTGTTGGAAGTTTCATGCTGATGTTCCATGGATGTCCCATGTTGTTGCTTGGCTGGTGTCATTTAATAAATAAGATCACCCCCATGAGCTGATGCCATTCGTTTTAATTGCGCTCCTACATATTATCTTTGAATCTACAAAATTCTACTAAATTACTGTATGACAATACATTAAAAAGAAAATTCCTGATATTTTTTATGGGTACAGAAAAATAGATATATAAAAAAAATTACTGTTCCTTCAGATATTTTATGTATATAGCATTTACAATGCTGGAAAAACTAAGCATGCTTCATAGCACCACACTTGATATGGATAATGCAATCATGTAAACTTACTGTGCTAAAAGAATACAGCAGAATTAAAGTTATGATAATCAAATGTGCTTGGAAATGTCAAAAATAAATTGTTCTGAATTTTATCAATCATAATGCATTAAGTCTCATTTATAAACATTATTGTAAAATAATTATAATTACAGGATAAATGAATAATGGAATCAAATAAATTTCAGAATTCCTTTTGTTATTTCACATGAATTAACAGTAAACATGATTAAGAAAAATGACTAACCAAAGCTTACTTTCTGCCAAATGAAAATATTTTTTGCCTTGCCAGTGGTAGAAACTGGTTGCAACAGTTGAAATTGAAAATACTAGTAATGCTAATTAATGTAACATTTAAATGGTTTTTATAAAATTAGTAATATTTTACAGAATTATTCAAAGAATTGTATTAATTTATTTAATAAAAAATTGCACATATTTTCATTTGTATAAACAAAATTAAAATAATGTTATTTTTAATCTGCATGCAATTCCAAGAATCATTAAACAAATTTACTGAATTTCTATTATGTCACATTTCTATCAAATAAAAAAGACAATATTTTATATTAACATTTATTATTAAAAAATAAAAAAGTAAATAAAAAAACCCTCAATGGCTTCTCATAAATGCACCAATCAAAAATGCTGCATTACTGAAGACAGTGAACCACAACTGACCATTAATTGCAGTCTATTTTACATATTTCAGAAGTAGTTTCATGTTTAGAATCATTTTGGTTGAAAGCAAATTTGAATGAAAACTGATGACCATTCATATACATCATTCAAGATGATGCACATGAAAAAGGGACGGTAAAGGTAAGAAATAATATTATTTATTATTAAAGTAAAGAATTTGCTACAGGTTTTAAAACTTACAGCTACATGGATTAAAATCCAAAAAAGATGATCGCTGGAGATTATATGGGTTATAGAAAACTACACCAGAGTTATCGGTCTGAGGGAAGGGTTACATTTGTAGTGGATTTTTTAAGGTAGACTGGCTCATATTCATGTTACACATGGGAAACAAATCATAAAAACTCACTGCATCTGGCCCGTACACCATGATTTAAGCTCAGGTCAAATCAGCAGTATTCAATGAATTTACTACTTGGCTCCTGGTGAGGTGAGGATTATTCTAATTGAAATGCTACTGAAAAGTTGACAGCAATAATAACTGATGATAATATTAAGAGACACAGGCTAATAGAAACAGCTATCAATCTCACGATAATTTAATATTACTTATGCTAGTTTATATGCTTTATCCATAATATAAGTAATCTAAATTGTCTAGTATCCAGGATAAGACAGCTAGGTCATTATTTCAGGAAATAAACCTATATTTTAAGCTTTACTTCATACTTTTGAAAGCAAATTTAAGTCCTTTCTTTATACCTACTTCTTTAATGAAGTTTTACAAAATGTTTTAACTCCTTGGTGGTCTAATTTAAAGAAAATAATTTCAAGTGTCTCCAGTTTTTCATAATGATAATACTGTTTGCAAATACTGATCTCAAATGAATATTACCAAGCCTTTCTTCCATTCCTAATAAACTGAGAAATTGTTGGAGTTTTGAAACAGCAATTAAATTAATTCCGCTACAGACTACTTCACGCAAAAGGTCAGACTGAACCAAAATGATGGAAGGAAATTTTTAATTACTGTCATCTAACCTTTGAATAAATATTATAAACATTATAGATGAATTTGTTTTATTTTAAAATACATTCCTCTTTGTTGTTTACAGTATTTCGATAAATTTTCAGTTACCTATTTTCTGACATAATGATTTTAAGTATTTATAAATAGTGGTTTTGCCCAGTTTAGCAAAAACCTACCACCTCCAATGACCCCTGAAAAGGAAATGGATAATTAACTTTCCAGATTTCTTTTCCTTTATGCCAGCTTCACAGTGTCAGATTCTACAGCTACTATAACAGCATAACTGAGTGCTGAATTGTTGAGCTCAAATTTAAAGTCTGGAGAAGGCACTGCACTTATGTACTTAAAAATCCATCACAGCTGAAAGCCCCTCAAGACCTAGTTACATGGAAAGCGGATAAGAAATACAGGATTCTGCCTCATCGTTAAGTTTTCATTCAAAATTGGAACTAAATTCAGCAAAGGCATTCTGTTATCTCACCACTGATATACGAAGTCATTGAAAATGACAGGTTATTTTTCATATCACTTACTATTATTTAATTTATTAATAAATAATACTATTATTTATAAGACCATTATGGCACTATTTATCTGCACATGGATGAGAAACAATAATTCTTAAACACAATCAAAATTTTTACTACATAATATAGAATTGTAATTTTTAATTGCTAGAAGAACAGGAAATTACCTCAAACATTAAGATTCACACTTTAATGCATCAAAAAGTGTATAAATTATAAATATGTTGTTATACATCAGATAGTGAGGTGCTTTTGTAGTAAGCTCTTTTTTCCTCTTGAAATTTTATGGGAAGAGTATATTTCTCCCAAATATTTAAGTAATGATAAGCAATAATGCATTTAAAATTCATATAATCAAATAATTTTATGCTAATATTTTCAATTTATTTACAACTAATCCTTATTTTAAATAAAAATATATTTGAAAGGCATAATATATTAGAATGAAATAAACAAAAATTTAATCCTGTAATTTTGACACTGTACAGTTTTTTACGATTCCAAAAAGCACTTTTTCATGAAAAGAGTTTTGTGCAAAAATTAACATAAAAGTAACAAGAAATGTATAAATGTAAATTGAAGAAAAGAGTTACATGCTCTGGGTCTAAAAATGTCAACTTTTCATCTGAAGTCAACAAACACATGTTTCAATTTAACTCTGCATGATGCTTTCCACAATCAGATGAACTAAAACAATTTATGTATTGATTTTAAATTTTTTAATTTTTAGAATCAGTTAATGTTACTCATTTCTGAGAAGTCTAAGCTAAACTTTTTGCAAGGTACTGCTTTTATGGCTCTTTAATTATCTAAATATAGGGCAAAAGATTTAGCATTTTCCTCCTGGATTGAGATTTCATTTGCAGCATACTTCTGACATGCAACAAATGGAAACCACTTCTTAGTTTCAATTTCAGCACAACACTGTAAGATCTCACATAACTCTGATTAGCGAATAATACATAGTGGGCTGTATGCACTATGCAGTACATTTTCTAGAAACTGCTCCCTGAAAATAAATTTGACATTTATTTAGAATTCTCTTAATACTCTGAGTGCCAATTCCTTAGATCAAATCAATCATCTAGACATGTTTAGGAGACACTAATGAATAGCAGATTCTTCAACTGAACAATTAACAAAATGCTGAATAACAAAAGGCTACATATATTGCTAAATATTTTTTACCCTTATGCAGATTTCAACTTATAATCATTATTTATACCTTTTGTAAAATTTTAGTCAGACTTTTCATACATTCTTTAATATTTCAAGTGCAGCTTAATAAATAAGGAGAAATGTTTAATTTTTGCCTTGAAGTTATAATCAGAAAGTTTTCCAACTAGCCATAACAGATTGTATGCATGCATATAAGAGGTAACTATGCTTCCACACATGCAGCAATATATGAAATGTTAATAATACCTGTAAGCTTTCAAAATTTATTATTATTATAGAGTAAAAACAGCTAATAATACTTAGGAACATTTTAAAGAAATTTTAAGGTACATTCAAAAGAACAGGGTGCTAATAATACAAGTACACTGTCCTCTGATGCCCAAAGCTTCTCTAAGATGAAAGATAAAGCAAAACTTAAAAGTAGGTTATCGAAATTCAAGACAAGTTCTTTAAGAATTATAAACAAAAAGCTCACCTCCACATGCCATGTTCCCCACTCCTAAAATACCAACATTTAATTCATCTAAAGATCGATAATATCGAATAACGTCCGAGTCAAGCCTAAAATCATGATATGTTGCTAAGAAATCTATTCGTAAACAGTATTTTAAATCAAAGATAAATTTGTAAAGTTTTAGGATTAAGGCAATTTATTTTATTACTATAACATATTAAAAGTGAAAAACATAGAAAACAATAAAAAATTCATGAATGGGTACAGTTTGGGAAAATTCTATGGAAAAAAAAAAAGCATAATATACAAACAGTAAAGCAAACTTAAAAAATATCAATACTATTGAAAAAAAACTGAAAACTTTCATGTACATACAAATGTATGCAACTATAAAGAAGCAGAATTAAGATATGGAGACAAGCATATGCATGGCTTCTAATTCCCCCCCCCCAAATATTGCTTTAATGTCAATTTTTCCCCCTTAATATTGCTTTAAGACACCTCGAAATAAGATGAAAAATACAGTGAAAATTATGAGAAAACAATACTGGGCTAAACAAGGCTCACTTTTTATATTTAAATAATTTGACTACATCTTAAAATACATTAAATATGACACACTTTACTTTCTAAGAGAAAGGTTATCAATATCAAGTTTAGAAAAGAATTTTTAACTAATCTCTTACATTTTGACAGATTTAAGGTACTAGTTTCTTTTTCTCGTGCTTATAATACAGGACAGACACAAGAAAAATTACAAGAATTATATGAAGAATAGTCAAAATCTATGCAGCCATTAAAAATTCATAATGTTTTACATCATATGAAAAACTACATAGTAGTACTACACCGAAGAGCCATTACATTATGATCACTGTCCATCTATAATAATGAGCTCGCCCAGGAACAAAAACCACTCCCCATGTGCAGCTGATATTAGACTATATGAAGCAGCTATGCATTGTCTTTTCAAACATAGATCGATTAGTGATATATTGGGAAAAGCAGCTTATTTATCAGACTTATAAAAATCATATCGTTACGGCTTGGCGACTGGGGACATTAATATCAGAAACAGCATGTTTAGTGGGCTGTTCATGTGCAGTTGTTGTAAGCACTTATACAAAGTGGTGCATGAATGGTGAAATGACAAGTCGCTGGCCAGCAGTATGTCATTGACTCAGACTACATATCAGCACCTCGTGCAGTCAATGGCATGTCGGGTGCTGGCAGTTTTGAGGGCTATAAGTGGACCTACATGTCATTAGCAGGGTGGTCATAATGTAATGACTCTTTGGTGTATATGAAATTAATCAAACATTTCATTTCGAAACTTAATTGCTCCTTCATATGTTCAATAAAAATTCATACTTGATGATGGCTGATCACGAAAATTTAACAATCCTTAAAGTGCTAAAATAAAATTTTTTTAATATAACATGAATTGCTTTTATCACTAAATTGCCAGTTATAATATAGGATCATCGAAAAAAGTTTGATTTGAAATCAATACTCTGTGCTAAGTAAATCAAAGTTCTTAGTCTCTAAATAATTCTGTAGAGTCCACATTTTGACTGCATATACATTGATGAGCCCAAAACATTATGACCATCGCCACACTTTTCAATGAACTCATCAGGATGATGTGGAGGGCATGTGACTCAGTGGTATTTAACTGCTGCTGGAGAAGGTAAGGAATCAGCCTTGCTCTTACTTTTGCTAGTGATGAGAAAGGCTGCCGATCTAAGCAAATTTGATAGATGACAGATTGTAATGGCTTGAAGACTCAGAACGAATATCTATGAAATTACACAATTGGTACTTTGCTTGCAATCTGCGATTGTCAGTATTTATGCAAGTGCCTAAAATAGTCCAACCTAGTAAAGTCTCTACAGCTGAAACTCCAGATGTAAGTACCTCCATTCTTCCAGTTAAAACGCTTCCAAGTACATTGGCTCCTAGAAGAACTTGTACAAGTAGGGTACCTCTTCTGACATCTGCCAGTTTTATCCCTCGTGAAGCAAGCTCAACAAGCAATGTTTCATCACGTATTCTGGGTAGCGTTGAACAAATTTTCTGTTGATCAAGCAGAGACATTGAAGTAGAATACTTTCGATCTAAACTTTCAATAATTACCGTATATCTATTCTGCTCACAGCCGGAGAAATTTCTCTGCCAAACAGTCCTTGAGATAACACTTTCTTTCCAGAAGGAGAAAGATTTAACTCAGCAGCTAAGCTCTTCTTAATATAGGAATGATGTGATCCATCATCCATTAACCCTTTCAGGATGGGCGTCCCACATATACGCATTCCCTAAGAACATCTCTTACAGCCAGGCGTCCCATCCGTGCATCAGTAAAGATCGCATTCAGAGGATGGGTGATGCGTATATGCATTTTAAGGTGGAACGTTTTTCTGAAGGCCACTAGATGGCATCCTGTGTCCATTACTTTTGAAATGAACACAGTTTTAGGTTCTTGACCTTGAGTTTGATATATTCTGCTTGACTTTGGTATTTTTACTCATCGCTGTTCAAGGGTGGGGGTGGGCGGAGGGAAAGCGTAAACAGAGTTGGGCTTTTTAAATCTCTGCGTGCTAATGAAAACATTCTCGTATCTGATTAATATCCAATTCCTTTTTTTATTCTATTTTCCCCTCTACTAGGTACAGTCTTTTAGGGTTAATATGTGGACTTCTGTTATGTTTTGCATTGCTTTTAGATATATTTCCGTTTCTTCTCTTTATTTCGGGAAGCCTCACCTCTAGTCTATTATGGCGGGAAGGCGCTATTTATCAGAGGAAAGAATACCCTCATATGGTTAAGTGAACCATTTACTAATGCAGATGATTAGTGATTGATTCATTTTCTAAAGAGTTAGAAAGTGATACTTTTTCTAAGAGTTCGAATGTGATACTTTTTCTGAGAGTTTACAAAGTGATACTTCTCTGTGCTTCGAGATTTACCACATCAGTCTTCATTTTAAATTTTGTTACTTCTTACTATAAATAGTCTTTATTATGTTTCTTTTATTAATTTTAAACTTTATTGATTGGATTTTATCAATTAAAAAACTTTGGAATAATTTTGAATAGCACTTCTGAAATTATTTAGAAGATAAGCAATTTTTTAAGTAGTATTTTCATGTAAAATAAAGAAAAAAATGTTTTAAGGGCTAATTTTAACATATATAAGAGCTCAAGTAATAATATAAAATGATACCAAAAATTACGATGCTAGAAGCGAAACTTTTGTTTTTCTGATTATTGTTATAAAATTAGGCTTAGCGATGCAAAACCTCCGTCCTGTGCAGTGACTGCCTTCTATTCTCTTCCGTCCTGCATGAGTGTCTTAAACAAAGGTGCGCCGTCGCGAAAAGGTTAATGCTCGAACACATATTTCTTGGCACCTATGCCGTAATCTGATCGTGATTGTTTTCAAATATATTTCATGTTCTGTAGGAAGATTTGTCAATAGAGTATCTGTAGAATTTTGTTTTTGATCTACTACTTTGTCCTTTGATGATTAATATCTTTACGTAAATCTGGGCAAAGTAATGTGTAATGCCTCCATGTACAAATCAAACATTTCACACTACTGTGACACCTTTTTGCCATATGACCACGCTTAAGGTAAACAAGGCAGCATCTTTTGCGTATAACTTGAGATTTCCTCTCATCTACAGTCATCTTGGGAGCTTTCTTACAGTCTCTACTAAAGTGTGGATGATCACAAAAAATATATTTAGCTTTTTCCTGCGTGGATGAAATAAGAGCTGAAGCAGAAGGAATATTATTTCTTGTAGTATTAACTTCCCTTTTAACCTTAACTCGAGTTCTGAAACCTGATCAAGCCAAATTTATCATCTCTTTTGATTTAACTTCACGGCATAAAAAGCCCATCAGTTTTTCCAGGTATCTCTGACTTGGAGCTTCCACTTCGTCAATAACTTCTGAAATTATAATCCTTCCCATGCTTGCAGAACATTTTCTGACAAACATGACTCCACCAATGGCTCTAAAAAGTTAGCAATTTTTTCTTTAGTGTGCCCTAAACTTTCCAATGCTCTTAATTTTGTCTCTAGCATATCACAGAGGGTGACTAAATCAGGGGCAGTCTTCCCAGCTGTAGCATTTTTCAGAATCAGTGAAAGGAGACTGCGGTCATATATTTGCACTAGGAGATCCTCCCGGTACAAATCTTAAATTTCAGCTGTTGGACGGCCTTTGGATAATTTTCAGCTGTTATTGGTAAACTGGATATTAATTATCAGGCACCACAGACTGGTATAACTACTGGAATTTGTCTGTAGCAGTCAGTTCCTCTGAGTCATGCATTTTTGAAAAAAATACTCCAAAATGTTAAAAATTCTTTGTGGTCACCCAAACACATTTTAATTTAAATTTAGGTGGTTTTAATTTTACATCACGCTCTGCCGGACTTTCCAAAAAAAGATCCAGAATCTTTACTTAATAGAGTTTTTATCTTTGATTTAAGCTCAAGATAAATATCTCTATAATCCTCCGCCGCCTCAAAATCGCCTTCACACTCGGCAACAGCCTCAGTATTTTCTAAAAAAAGTTTCTTAAAGTTCGAAATGTTATTCTGAATTTCATTCTAAATGTAAAAATTTATCTTGTAACTCAGCATTCAATGCACTCAGCTTATCCCCATCCTTGACGTCTACTTTAGTTGCCAAACACTGCTTCAACTTATTCACTGTAGACATAAATGAAGCTCTTAACTACTTTCGTTTTATTTTCAGAGCACTCATATTTGTATGTACACTTAAAATAGTAACTTAAAATTATTCGCAATAAATTCTTAATTTCTATTTGTACTGAAGAAATTAAAGTGTTTATACTTTCTTCAAATCAACTTTATAACTTAAATCAATAAAATATAATTACAACTTAAATCACTTTATCATCGTAAACAGCATATCGTATACTTACAAGCAGTAATTTAAATCATTCGTACCTGTACACTTTTATAATTTCAAATTGTGAATTCTTCAAATGCAGAATACAAACTCTGTCTTGTTTTCAAACACCAGTTTTGTTTTGATTCGAAATCAGACTTTGTTTTACATCCAATTTATTTCACTTTACGAACACATAGAGATAAATGCGATTATTTACATGTTTAGTATAATGATCAAAATGATCCATACATCTTACTGATGAAAAACATTCAGTATCTCAGTAATGTAACTTAAACTGCCTAGAATGCAATCAAATGATCCGTACATCTTAATAATGAAAAACATTCAATATTTCCATAACTTAACTGCTGCTTGCTTAGAACAGTAATTTCCCGATCATTACATTCAAAAAGAAAAAACTGGTTGCCAGATTCATACATCAAACAAAATAACAAAAAAAAAAGCTACTAAGTAATAAGAAACGGGAAACTCTAAACTTAATAGGAGTCACAACATTTGGGATGTCATGAAGCGGTTGCTCAAACACCACCATGTCAGAATATCTCGGCTTTGTGTGACCACTTCTTAGACATTTGGTACAACCTGTCTCCAGTCATCTACCAAGAGAAATTGTGGCATCCATGCAGAGGCATCTTGCAGCTGTTTTGCAGGTCAAAAGGCTTTGAATGAGTTATTGAGTAGGTGGTCATAATGTTTTGGCTCTTCAGTGTAGATCACTATAAGGAGTGGCAAGGTAGCCTCAGTGTGTGCAGAAACTTCGATCAGTAGTAATAAAGGTACCATCTTTAATCAGCCCATTTGCATGAACATGGTGATACTGCAACAAATTACACAGTGCATGTTGTATTATGCAAATCTGTTTAAAATTGTTCTCAGCAAATTTATTAAAAATGTTCAATGCAATTTTGGAAAATTTGTTGGGCACAGTCAACTGCTGTGAAATGCATCTCTTATTGCTGTTGCTGCGATCACACCATATGCAGAACTGGACTACCACTTTGATACTTGTAGGGCAACCAACAAAACGAATACTGGGATTCAATAATTATATGGTTAAAAGAGGGAATTTTCATGTTTATTTTGTAATAAAACTTATAAAGACGACTCAAAATCTGTTTTTTAATAAATTGTTTACAATCAAGTACATTTTTTCAATGACCCTCCATTATTATTATTTTGACAGATCCTGTATATATTAAACAACATTCTTTATCACAGGAAATGTTCATGAGCAGATTCAAGTCTTTCAAATTCAAAAGAAGCGCGTGTAGCTCTTATATTTATTAATGAACCAAGAATCAGTATTTACAAATTATTGACTGTGTAAAAAAAGGCACAGAAAATTTTTATTTACAATGAAGCATGGACAAAATTTGGTACTGCAAGACAGTTTAAGAATTATTGAAAATCTGTTTTAGCATGAAAAATATAAAAGTAATTTTCTATATTCTTTCCATTCTCCTTATCCTCTGTGACTAAATTTGATACTTCTGATTTCATTACACATCACCTGATCTGAATTTCACTTTTTCCTGGAAATTCTATTTAAGCATACCTTATGTAATGTCCTTCACTCATTCAAAAAACAGCAGTTTTAACAATCAGATTGTAAAAACAAAAATGCAACTTCTGGTATCAAGATTTGTTTAAAGATTTTCTACCAGTTTAGTCACTCAGACATTAAGCATCTCCAAAAGTAGAAAAAGCATTCAATATCACATACAGTCAAATGTGGATTTGTCGGGACTTCGGCGATTCCGGATTTTTCCAGATATTAGATCATCAATTTAAATCTGGTAAGATGGCATGCAGAAATTATACAATTAAAAATATGAAATAAAGAACAATTATGATCTAAAGGGTACTAAAATTTGCAAAGAAAATCATAATATTTGTTTACTTTATAAACCATTTCTTTCAATGTAAATTGCTTCCACAAAAATTTCAAAAACTTCCTTTTTCTTATTTCTTTCATATACAGTTGACTTTCCAATCAAACATATCATCAAAACATGGTTTCACTTTGTAGATCCTTTGGTACCTCCAGAATTGGAAACTCTTTTCAACATAAATAAAATTTCAAGCTTAGTTTTTATAAAATTGCCATAATATTAACAGTTTGCGAAAAATAATCAGCTGGATCAAATTAGAAGATTAGGGAACAGCACAGACTGCTACATTAACTGAAATGCTTTAGAATCAGTAAAGATAATTTTAGCCTAGCTTAATAGCGTCCGTTATATATTATTGGATGTGTATCACAATTTTGGCGACGAAAGCCAAGTTGTTTCCATAAATTTTGTCTTGCTCCTACTGCATACTGAATTAAGCTTGAATTGTATTACTTTAGTTGTTTACTATACCTGTGTTTAATTCTTGCACATGCTTAAAACTAATCTGAGTCCTGAATAAATAAACTCCCACATATACTTAAGGCTTTATCTAGGGCTGGTGCTAGATACTGCCTGGCGCAGTCTCTATAGGTCATAAATTTTCCTAAGTTTTAAATTTTCACCGCACCTAAACTTTGGATCCCAGTGCTTTCCCTAAACCATAAAAACTTCTCATCCCTTAATTTTGTCACTCAGTGCTTCCTCAAATCCCAAAATTCTTTTCCCTGAATTCTGCCATCCAGTGCCGACATATTCTGCTGCCGCTTCCGTGTTTATGGTGAATAACATATCAGTTATTCTAAATTAAAATAGCACTAAATATTAATACAGAATTCAAACAAAAAAATCAGAGTTATATTTTCAAATTTTCACAGGACTAGTTTCGACAGTTTTACCGAACCACCATCCTCAGCTGCAAAAACGCAAATGAACGAGATAGGATATAATGATCAGGTAAGATAAGAAAACCTCGACAGAAAATAAGCTAGTGGCGCCATCTGTTCATGAAACCAGAACTAAAACATAAATGTGAAATGCCTCTAGAAAATCCAGTTCTGCAATGGAAGATGTTTTTTGAATAATTTTGGCAGCATAAAAATTGAAAATGTGATTTTTTGGACCAGCAATGTTGGGCAACAGAAGACTTCTGTGTTTCCTTTTTTCTAACATATGCCTCATGTTCCATGACGTGAAATTTTAAGGTTCTCTTAGTTTGGCCAATGCAAATTAAACCACACTGGCAAGGAATCCTATAAATACCCCAGGAATTCATATTCAGAATTGGGTTTTTGAGTATGGAACTCAGAATTTTATTGATGGAAGAATAAATGACCTGAAAGTTAAATTTCTGCAAAATATGCGCAACTTTATAGCTAAATGTAATCTTTTGGCCTATGAGTTTCATTAACAAAATTTATTTTTAGCATATGAAAAGAAAGGTTTTGCTGGAATTTTTCCTTGTCAACATTTCTTAGAGTATTTAAAAATCTATAATCATTACTAAGCGTAACATTAGCACAAAAGGTTGCAATACTCTTGTTATTCAATTACTAATATTAAAAAAAAAATTAGACATCACTGTATGAGTTATTACTGAAGATGTCAAGTATTGATAAACATGTGATGATGAAAGCAAAATATAATAAATAATGACGCACAAGGTCGGCATCAGGGATAAAAACTAGGTGAATGTTTCATTTTGCGATGTATGCCAAGCAGATACTCAGCTACTGAGCCAAATTATTAAGCTCACAAATTTATGCTTACATGATTGTTTTTCCATAACGAGGTATTTTATTTAGCATCTAAGTGAAATTAAGAATCGAAATTTTTAAGTGAAAATCTCGACATGTTTTATTATGGAAGGAAAAATCATAGCACATGTGTAAAGCATACCAAAAAAAAAAAGTTTGTGGCTTCGAGGTTCGGATTTTAGATCATTCCGGATAATGGACGTCCGGATTTCGGAACTTTGTACTGTATACATTTTGTAAATTGTATCATGTTTGTAAAATTATATCATGTAATATAAGAAAACCTACAAATAGGTTTTATATCAAAACACATGTATAAATATATGAAAAGAAACTTTTATCAAGCAACAGGATGCACAGTGACTATCATTCAAATTTGGTAGGAAACCAGACAAACTGATATCTTGTTGATATAACAGGTTTCTGAAATGAATGCATTAAAAATGCAGATTTACCATATTTCATGATTAATACCTCAAGCAAATTCTTAATTAAAAAAATTAAATACTTTGTCTATATCTAAAATAAACTGACTTGCTAAAATTGAGAAAATTCACCTCCAGCAGGAATTTGAGTTAATTTACAGAACAAAGCTCAATTAAAAAATTTGAAGCTCATTAAAAGAAGGGCTCATTTGCAGGGGAAAAATATGTACAAAATAAAAATTTTAACATTACATAGTTTTAGGAATACAGGGGGGGGGAATACCAGTTAAGTAAGGGCAAGTTATATCAACAAAACTATAGGAGAAATAATTCATAGCATTCTTCAAGCAAAAGGTAAATAAATAAATATTAATCGGTTAGCATAGATGAATACTTACCAAGTCTCAGTTTCTTGAGCAATGATATATGCTTTGAAATTCCTCTCACAGTTCAGAATTTGGCACACAACATATTCAGCAATAAGTCTACTGAAAGCTTCACCACCATGCCTGGTCAGCACAAAGTGTGGCTGCAAGATATCAGTCATGTTAGAGAAATTTAAGTTAATTCAACTGCATGAAAATATAGCATCCTAGGATATCCAACTGACAAAAACAAAGTTGATATTAATGCTCAAGACAGAAAATTTTTGCATAAAAAATTAAACATTTCTCAATGTTAACTTGCAAGCTAACATACATACAAATGTACCATAACTTCCGGAAGAAAGGCTGCATCATCGTAAACGCCGCACTCGAGAAAAATGGCGGGGAAAAAATTAAAATTACACAGAAACGCCGCATCAGCGTAAATGCCGCAATAGATTAAATTGCGCGTGACGTCGTTGTGGGCCGTATAGATGCAAAAACTCAACCTAAGTCCTGATATATGACATACCAGTTAAGAAAAATGGATAACTCAAAAATAAATTAAAGGTAAGAAATGCATAGCTTCTATGCCGTTTACAGACATTTTCAAAAATTTTCCGCTCCCTTCTTACTTAAAAACTATTCAACAAGTACTTGTACCCAAACTGATGGGATTTGTATTTGGCAGAATGCCAAGAAAAATCCATTTATGCTGAAGGGGAAATACGTCAGAGTTCGTTATTGCGAGGCAGGTGGAGTCGTGTCCGCCTTTGAAAAAAATTGCAGAAAAGGGGGTGGAAAGAGGATGGGTCCTGGAAGATTCATCGAATGACAGACCAGAGAGACTATTCAAACTGATGAGAATGTTGATTTGAAAGGGGGAAGAATGTTATTGTTCTGAGATCTCGTTTAGGGTGAATAAGGCATGTAGGTTCGTTCAAGGGAAAGAATGTAAACGAAATAACGTTCGCAAAAAGCAACTGAGTGGTCTTTTGCGTGGGAACAGCACCAGTCTATGCACAATGACAAGGCCATCCAAACTATGTACAATGACCATCATAGGAAATATTTTATTTTTACTGCACCTAAACGCCGCACCCACTGAAAATTTAAGTTTTAAACACGTAAACGCCGCGGCGTTTCTTCCGGAAATTACGGTAATCAAATCTCATTATAAGTTCACTATATGGACTATGCAAATATGGCCCTCTAAGCAGAACGATTTAATATGTGGGAAAGATGGCAAAACAAATATTTTAAAATAATGTTATTTCATTTTACATAATTAGAGTAAAAAAACAATGATACATTATTTGAAGATCATTATGAACATTTTTCCTATGAACAAATCAGAGGAAAAGTTCGAGTCAAAAGCTATTTCAAATCATTTATTGAAGAAATCAGTAACATACAACAATTTTTTTTTTTTTTTTAAAATTTCAAAAGATTCTTCTGCAGCATTAGATGTTATCACTAAAATTCTAATTGGAATGCTTAAAATATTTCATTTGTCAGCTCTAGGTATTGCCATTCATCATTAAAGCTATTATCTTCAGTCTCAAATCATCACACATACCAATGCCTTCTACAAGGTACCTAAAAATGTTCTTGCTGTTTACGACTGTCAGACAGACAAACATACAGCACATGATATTTAGCATTAGGTCTTGAAGTAATTTCTATCAGCATCCAGCAAGCTTTGCCAACAATCTTGCAGCTGTACAAAGCCCTGGCAACAAAACTCGGATATTTTGGACACAGACGCCAGTGAATGCAAGTTGTAGGTCTACATCATTGCATTATTGATTTCTCACGGAAATGATTGTTCACGAAATGCAACAGGTGGCTACTTGTGGGCTTTAGGTCCAGCAAGCACAATTAACCTGCCCAGTGGATCCCAGATCATTCTTCCACATGTTGTCTGGCACTATCAAGCAGGCACACTCAAGCTGGTTTAGAGGCCCCTGCTATGTGTAAGTATTAATGAAATTAGGTTAAATTCTCCCTGAAACAATCGTTTTGCACTTCATTTTTTTTTTAATCCTGCTTATACTGAAATCTCAGTTCAGCAGATGCAATGGTCTCATAACAGTGTGTTCATAAACGATTATCATTGCCACAACCAAAGTGGAAGATCTCGAAAAATTCCATGGGTGTTGTTACTCCAGTATCAGTATCAAAAAGCAAAATAAGTTATATGCATTAGACCAGTGTTTCCTAAAGTGTGGTATGCATACCCCCAAGGGTACGGGAAGAGTTTCATGGGGATACGTTTGATGGGATATGCACTGCACTGAGATTAGCTGGGCCTAATTCTATGTTCTCATGAGCCAAATCAAGACGGTCTTGTGAGACGTGAGATGGTCTGGTGTGACACGGCGGGGATATACCACATTTCGTTATAGAGACAACTTACTTTGTTAATAGTTAGTTGCTTCTCCAGGCGCTTGTGTGATTTTAGCTTTTGTTCAATTTTTCTTATAGGGAATGTTTGTTTTGTGCAAGTCTCACTCATTTTGATTATTTTTATAAAATATCATTTTTATCCCTAACATAGGTTATGGATCACTGGTTGAAATCTGGAACTACTGCACTAAAAGAAAGTAAAGATCAGGCAACACTGTGTCTGACTTGCATGCATCTAAACTGCACATTATGTGTAAAAATGTTTGTGCAGAAAGATTTTTGTGTTCTGCTTACAATAGATAATTTAAATAAATGAAATCTTAATCAATTTTTAGTCATTATCATGACAAACAGCATCACTTATATTACTCTTTCATCTAGAACAGCAATTTATAAAACATTTTGCAGAAAATAAGAAATGCTTTTATAAAAAGTTTAATACCTTCTCTGGTATACTTTTTATCACTGGATCAACACCTAAAATAAAATAAATAAATAATTAGACAGGAAGTAAAAACAGGTGTCCAAAGCAAAACATTACACTAGCTTACCACAAACTGGTTATCAAACTATAATGCAGTACAAAAACTGAGATCCAGAATTATCAGGTCTTTCGCAATTATGTATTTTAGATCAACAGTTTAAATCTAATAGGATTGGCATGTATACTTTGCAACACTGGGGCTTCACTTATTGTTTATGTCAGATATACAAATACTTTTTTTTTTTCCTTTTAAATAAGAGTTCAATTTACAGAACTAGTTTACAATGACAGGAAAAAAACTATTCAGAACTAAACTATATTACATGATTTAATGATGAAATTTCAGTTCAATATAGAGAAAATAAATACAGTCAAAAGTCGTTAATTCGGACACCCACAATCCGGAATGATCTATAATCCGGACCTCAAATCTAAAAACTTTCTGCGCATGCGCCGCGTTGGCGCATGCGCACAGGCGTTTTACGCGTGTGCGCAAGACATTTACGACTGCGCATATGCGTTTGTGCAAGTGCAGAATACGTTTTCGCATGCGCGTTTAATGTATAACGGACGGTATAAGCTCTAATTATCTATTTCAATTAATGTTATGATTGCGTTGTTCCTTAATCTTCGAATTGGATCCGGCTTATTATTTTTTGCAGACTGTAAGAGCAATTTTATAAAAGTAAGCTTGAACTTTCGATTATGTCAAATAGAATTTCCGATGCTGGAGCTCCCAAAGGATCTAGAAAACGAAAGTATGTTTCGATGTCCATCAAAACACAAAAAACGAATTGCTACAAAAAAATGGATAAAGCATATCCTTTGTTTATCTAACCATTCGGAAATTTGTTTATCAATTTCACGCTGCTCTGCGCGGGGGGGGGGGGACGTTGCCGCACGCAATGAACTGGATGTTGATCTGCCAGCACTATCGTTATCTTCAGAGCAGATGTTTTTATTTTATTCAGCTTATAATTCCTTACTAAATGTAGTATTTAATCTTGATGTACTCCATCTTCGATATGATTTAAATCAAATTCCTCGTCATTATAAATATCACGAATACAAATCAAATAGTTTTCTGGTTGCAATTTTCTAATTTCGGCTATGCATAAGGTATGCTTTACGCATGCACGCATTGAAAGAAATGTTTAATAAAGTAAACAAATAAATATTAAGCTTCTTTTTTTGTAAATTTTGATACCCTTTAGATCATAATTGCTCATTATTTTATAAATTACGGTTTCATATTTTTAATTTTATAATTTCTGCATGCCATCTTACCAGATTTAAACTGATGATCTATAATCCGGAATCACCGAAGTCCCAACTAGTCCGGATTAAAGACTTTTGACTGTAATAATAAGGCATATTTATTGTATTCGCTTGGAACCTAATAATAAATACAATTTATTTTTCCACTCATATTGATATTAAATAATTTAAATCTAAATTCTGAACATTTTCTAAATTTTCATTGTAGCATACCAGTTTTCCCTTAACAGATATTGCAAGCAAAGTAATTTAAGTAAAAAAGAGGAACATTTCGGATATCAGAAGGCAGAAATTTGCTTCATGCAGTCATCCTTTAACAGTAAAAGCTTAACTAACCCGCATACTTGGAAATTGGCGAATATTCGGACAGTCGAGCGTAACTTGAGAAAGAGGAGCGAAGGCGGGGTAGACTGTAGCCGCTCTTTAGATTTTTCCGCTAAATAAATGCTTTTGACATTTCGATATGTGCATCATATAAAAATAAACCAATGGAACTGAAAAATATTCTGTTTATCAAGCACAGTAAAACTCTTTTAAGTGTTCATAAACAAATCTCAGACTGAACATCAAAATTAATTATCTCTGCAAAATATCGCAAACGTTATTGCGCAATGTGCGAGCCGTGAATTACGTGATATTACGCAATCGGAATCTACAGCTGCCAGTATTGGGAGAATAAAGAACTAAATAACTGGGGTGTTAATCATTCTAATTTTCAACAGATGGCGTTAAATTTCCAGAATAGAATCATTCTTCGCTTGGCAGAATGCTTCCGAGAACTTTTAGTCCTATTCAATCCAGATAGGAAAGTGACTAAAAAAGAAAAAAAAAAAAAAAAAAAAAAAAAAAAAGGTCCGTAGCTTGTTTTGCAAAGAATATTAAAGATTTTGCAGAGAAATTATTTTGACTATTTGATTACTTTCCCTTTATTTAAGCCATTCCGAATATTATTCATTAGAAAGCTAACGTGTTAAAACATAACCATTTTTGGAAGTTTATTATACTTCAGCAGTTACTGCAACTATGTTATTATAAACATTCATACATATACTCATAATATAAGCATAACGATCATAATAAACACAAATTGAACTGACCAAGCAGAACGAGAATGCAAATTTTTAAGATCTTGATAGAAATTCAAACGTGTGTAGTATTTGGGTGGGAGGAAAAGAATACAGAATGTATCAGAATTTTCTACTGCTTTCCCAATTCTTTGACCAATAGAACGACGGGCACCTGTTTGTACTCTTCGTGCACACCAAAGGTTATGTTAATGCAGAGAAAGGGGGAAAAGCTATTTCCGGGAGTATGATTCACCATCTGACATTCCATATTAGGAAGAAGAGTTGTTTATTTAGTTTCGACTTTGGTACGGGGAAAAAATAGCGCATTTAATAAAAAAAAAAGCACTAAAAGGAAAAAAATAAGCACTAAAAACAAAAAATAAGGGCTTTAAAGAAAAAGTAAGCACCTATAAGGGCCTTTATATTTTATTTTCAAATATAAGGACTTATAAGCACCGCTACAAACCCTGTTAGAGAGTAAGTAGAATTTAAGACCCACACCAGACACAGAAAATATGTAGCCCTGATCCTGCCTCTACCTATAACCACTCAAAGACTGAAAGCGTAATCCTGGCCAACATTCATTCGATGTCAGTCAATGCATTGATATTAGCTACAGTGAAATTCCCCATCCAGCAAGTGTTTGGAAGTGAAATGCAGAAATTTCAGTTAGGAGAAAAATTTAATTTATGGCACACGTGCTTCCCTTTGTTGGGTATTATAGTCTCCATTCCTAGATTCTGTAAAGGTTTTTATTATTATTATTTATTTATTTATTTACCGACTAGTGGTCTGGGTATTAGATCATTACGGATATTGGACGTGTGGATTTCCCTTTTTACTGCATTTTGATGTTAAGATGGTTATTACAAAAATTAGTCTTCTACTTCAATCGAAGAAATTCTGTTCACATTTTTGCTGAATGCAAGTGAAATACCAATCTGCTAATTAACAAATTTAGCTGTTTTAATTTCTTCTCTCTAAGGAAAACTGAACTATCATAATTCTTTTTTACATCAGGAGAGGAGAACACATGCTCCCTAAAATAATGATTCATATTTAACAGCCCCTTCTTCCTTCCCCCCAAATGCTATTGATTTAGCAGTTTAGTTTTAACATTTTGCTTTGAAAGTTTTTATATTCAAATAACTAACCTACCGTATTCTCAAAAAAAAAAAAAAAAAGGAGAGGTCATTGTGGTTCAATGCCCACTTTAAATATAAACAGAATAATGAAAAGATTGCGTGCCTTGCGAATGCAGATCATTGTACAAATGCTTTTGAAGAAGCTATTTTGGTTTGGTTGATTAAGAGAAGCAAACATCATGTGGACTATCGTTACCTAGATGGTACGCTTAAAAAAAGCTTCTTTTAAATGAAATGGTTTTGCAGTATGCTAAACATCAGCAAAATCAAAATGAAAAAAACTCAGGAATTGAACTGAAACTTTAAATTAACGAGGCTGAACTGCATTTGACTTCATTAAAGTGATTCAGAAGTATGAAAATTCCTATTTGTAAATCACTTCCGTTACTGAAACTAAATTTTGCATATGATTGATGGTTGAAAACATTGCATGTTAAGTGGTATAATATTCAAAGAAACCATTTCAAATGTTGTTTGAAACTGTCAAATTGGAAAGGAAATGTAATACATGCATTTAAGACAAAATTTCTCAAAAACACAGTTATAGCATAGTATTTTTACATCTTTATTTATTTAGGTAATAATGAACTCGGAACACAATGCAAACAGGCTGCTGTTGTTTGCTATTTCTTTACTTCAGTCATTACAGCATAGTACTGAAGATCCAGAAATAAAATGAGATTGTCTTTATGAATTGCAGAAGTTCGATATTATTGCTGATGATGTTACAGCCTTCATTTCAACAATCTTAACTGAATCTCTTCTACTGATTTTTATGGGTTTAATAAGTTGATAGCAATGCTGCACACAATACTGTTAACCTTAATCTTCCAGTGCTTTGATATGAGTTTAATAACTTCATCGTAATACTGCATTACCTACAAAGGAAGGCGGAAGACAGTCATAAACTAGACTGGCTTAGCTTGGAGAAAATTTGCAAAATAAAATTATGAAATGGGATGATGACTGAATCCATCAGGAACCCTACCTTAATTACCCCTTCAAAATAAATAGCTACATAAAGCTCGTCCAAAGAACAGTGAATCAGAAGAATTTCCCTGCTCAGTTGAAGATTTGATATCCTTCCTTTTATAGTAAACTGAAGCCCTAAAAATTTCAGTTTTGTAGCATACATGCTTTTCTGAAGCCAAATATTCTCATTGGTTAGTTGACAAATACTTTGCCTATTTAGGATTACAAGCTTAAGCAATTTTCTAAGCTACAACAAAAAGTTAACAGGTCATCAGGCTGAGTCTTTATCCAGTCTAATGAAAATTAACATACAGTAAAAGTTTGACTATTTGGAAAGCTTGGGAAATTCTGGATACCTGAAATTTCTGGAAAATTAAGCATATAAAAAATGCCAAATGTGATGGTAGAAAAGCAAAATAAATAAAAGAAAAAATTTCTGGTCTAAAATTATACAGTATTATATAGTTTGTTTATTTGTTATATAGTTTATTTGTTATCAACTTGAATATCAAAAGCCTACATTTAAATAATGTGACATGTCGGAAGACAAAAGGGCATTCCAAACACAAACGGCGAAGTAAAACATCGTACTCGATTGCGAATTTCTGACAATCATGAAAACTGGTGTAGATCTCACCAAACTTGCACCAGCCTTTCTGGCAGAAGTTTGAAGATACAGATCAGTCTTTATTTAGTTATTCAACATGTACAAGTAACAAATGTAATGTATAAAAATGTATAAAAACTTAAATTGCTTGTCATAATTTTTCATATTGCACAGCCACTGTTTATCCATTTTCACATACATCTCACTTTTCTTGATGCCAGGATCCTGCAAATTTGAACTTACTCTACTACATGCTGTTCCACTGAAGACAAGTCCTAAATTTTAATGCTTTTTCCCCTTCCCCAAACATGATAAAAAAAGATAAATTGCAGTTAACTTATATTATTTTTTTTAATTCAACCAACTTAGTGAGAATTAATTGGGTTTACGTAAAGCAAAAGCATTACATCATACTTATCTATTATTGGTACGAAATTTCACAGTTTGGTGACAGTTTTTGTTTGATTCGAATTTTAAACCTAATAACGGAGCTTAATAATGGAGTTACAAGTCTCTTATGTATTTAATATCAAGTTAAAAAAGTTTCTAAAATTCGAAAATATTCTGGTTACTTGAGCTTTCCAGTTAGCTGAATGTCAGATAATCAGGCAGGCCTTGGTCCAGGATCTATTTTAAGAATTTTTCAAGGTTTTTCAAGAAATGTTACAATCATGAGATATGCCAAATTCATTAAAATAAGCTGGAAAATGTTTAATTTCCTTAATAAATTTTTCTGAGAATCATTTCTCCCATCACATAATTTACAGCAACTTTCCCAGAAACTCTTAAAGAAAACACGGTTTTCAGTAACTTTTCATTGTTAGAAATTTCTGGTTTATGGCAATTTATTTATACAAAAGTATGGCAGAATAAAAAAGTAAAATAGCATATTACTCAAAGCAATTACTGTCACTTACTTCTTTGCATTATAGAATTTAATAATATTAGTACACCTATTAGTATGGACTTTTTAATCTGCTAAGCTGTTACCTTAATCCTTAGAAAATGAGAAATCACTTTATGAGTGAAAATTGACTAAAATGAAGTTATAATGCATACCTCTCTAAACCATATTTCTACAGCCTCAGCATGGATAAAATTCCAAGAGGCTAATAGAAATAATAAGGAAAATGTCATCAAGGCTTACATGAAGCTTCTGACAATGATTTGTCACAATACTGGGTAATTGCATAATGAATCATCACACTTTCTTCAGTTACGGATGGATCAGCACATTTGGCCTCCACAAGTCACTTTGCCATTCCTAATACGCAGACAGTTAATGTGAGGTCTCCTTTCCATGTCTGTCAAAAGACTGCCACAGAATTATTCATAGTAGTGGGGTTTAGCCATCAGGCAAATACTAATTCTATCTATAAATTGGTTACGTGCCATAAGACACTTCATCACCATGTTCACTAGAATCCTTTTGCTTAAATGGCTTGATTCAGTGGCTTTTATACATTTGATAAAACGTGCAGCGACTTGCTAGGGATTTCACGGAAATAATATAATTGAATTCTGTGTTGAAATTCAATTAAATATTTGTACTACTTATGTTGCCACTACTTGGTTTTATAGACCTTGTAGAAAGTCATTTTTTAAGCCTGTGTAAACTTTTAGTGAACATTACTGAAACATTGATGAACATTACTGAAAGTGATATACATTTTAACTTTTCATTTTGTACTTTGGGAAATCAAAGTACGAAAAAGGTATATCAGTATACCATGCATTAAGTTATTTCTACGAGTCATTCTAAATCATGCACAATTAGTAAAGGTTTAAAATAAGAAAGATAAGAAATTAATTTACTATGAGGATTTTAGGATAAAACATTACTTCTAATGAAATATGGATGCAACTAAGTATTTAATCTATTGTCTTAAAATGCATTTATGAGATTAAACAAATTTCAGATATTACACAATTAGAATTTATAAATAAAATTAATAATTTTAAGCATTCCATAAAACATGTTTTAAAAATAAAATTTTCGAGTTCAAATTTCAACTGAAATTGTTCAGTTACATATAAGAAGTGCCAAATCCTTATTATTGAGGGCTCCAGTGCACTCAGCCTAGAATTAGAATTTATTCCAAAAATTTGGTGGGCTTCAGTGCAATTTAAGCTCCAAGTTGAAAATATTTTAAACATAATAAGAAATCCTAGTGGTAATATAAAAATTAATTAAAAAGGATTTACCAGCCCATGTACAATGTGCCCATTTTAAATTTGGCATGGATTTATACGCATTTGCAAGTAAGGCACCATCACAAACTGCAACTTCAGCATTCTTAATATCATGCAAATCTGAAAAAAAATCAGCAGTTTTATTGAATTATAGGCTTCATGATAATTATACATTTCATGAATTTAGAAATAGTTTAGTTAATAAATAAATGAAAACAAGTACTAATTTGCAATGAAACTTATATGTAATACAGTACGAAGTTCAAGGTTTGCAATCTTTGGAACTTCAAAAGATTCGAGAAATTTCCAGATTTTAGATAACCAATTTAAAACCAGTGAGATGATGTGTTGACATCATGAAATAAAAATATTAAATAGCTCTTTAAGAAATAATGAACCATTTATGATCTTAAGGGAATCAAAATTTCTTAAAAATTTCAATATTTATTTGTTAAATCAATTTTTTTTTATTAAACATACCTTTCAATGTAAGTTATTTAAGTTGCTTAATTTTTGTGCTAAAACTTTATCATTAATTTTATAGAAAAACATAATTTCTTGTTCATTTGCGAAGTTCCGTTTTTCAAGTTCTCTAAAATGCCATATTGTATCTTTCAAAATCTTTTCAGTTCTCAAAAACCTCTTTGTCACTTTTTTCAGTATCAGTAATGATATTTTCTGAACTGAAAGCTATAAAATATATTTCGCTATTCATTAGTTCATTGCTGATTGGAGCATTGTCATTGTAATTAACAACTTCTGTTACATCATCATTTATTATCACTTCTCCTTCATGAAATCCAGTAACTGGAAAATTTCATTTTCTATAATGTTCATAATCTATGCCAAAATAAGACTATAGTTTTGCTTAATTTTGAAATTGCACTTCCTTAAGCCCATATTACACCAATGTCTATTTTCTCTTGCCAAAGCCATTATTGAAGGCAAGCACCAAATATGCTTTCACTTTGCAGATCCCACCACAGCTCTGGAATCAGTAACACTTTTCAACATAACTGAAAATTCACACTTTTACTACACTGTAACAATAGTCGCATGCAAAAAATAATAGGCTTGATTAAATTAGAAAGTTAAGCAAGATTACAATTTGCTAGGTTAACTTAGTTCTCAGGATCTTTCTTGCTTTACCTGCTGCTGTGCCAACAAAAGAAACTCAATATAAGCAACATCCCACTCCAAAAAAAAATATGTTCTGTGACTTATTTATTTAGGACAGACAGAATAATACTAACCTCTTCTCCCTCTACAAACACTCAAAGGCTGAAAATGTAGCTGTACTATCTTTCTAAACTAATGAGTGGACTGTATAGCAAAAGAACTAATTTATTGACAGTAATTAACTAAATTCAGATCTAATACATGCTCTGGTATGCTGCTTAGCCGAATCCAGATACCAAGTGAGAGTTTCTCTCCTTATCCAATAGGTGGCGCTGTATTCTAACTTAACATGCCGCTGCCCGTTGAAATTACAAATTTCAACATGTAAATTACAAACAAACATACAATTTAACATTCCAAGAATAACTAATTCTACAATACAATGTGAAAGCTAATAGATAATCTTTCATCATGAATATAATATAAAATTATACAAACATTCAAGAACATTAACATTCACTATGCTACAATCGAACTTACTCCTTAAACAGTTCCATTTTAATGTAAGGCACAAATTTCAATAAGAACATAATAACGTAAACTAAGCATTATTACCCTGGATAGGTAATAAACAAATTTTACTAATACATTGAATATACACACCATTTGATGTTTTCACTTTAACAACTCTGGCCTTATTATCTTTACCAGGTAAAACTTCTAGAATTCTAGCTAAAGACCATCTAAATGGGGGTAGATTATCTTCCTTTAACACAACATTAACATACCTGCCTTTAAATTTCCTTTATTAATAAACCATTTGGTGTGTTGTTGGAGATGATTTAAATAATCAGTTTGCCAATGTTTCCAAATAACTTAAATGAACTTGCTAATAACTTGCCATTTAGAAAGTCTATTATCTGCAAGATGAGAAAAATCTGGTTCAGGATACGAAGTAATGAAACGTCCAATTAAAAAAATGACCTGGCGTTAAGCCTTCAAAGTCATTTGCACCTGTTGATAAAGGTAAAATTGGGACGAGAATTGAGAATACCTTCAATCTGTGTGACAACAGTCCAAATTCTTCTAAAGTCAATTTATAACTGTCGATTGTACACTGAAGATGATATTTAAATGACTTACCGTAATTTCCAGAAGAAACGCTGCGGCGGTTACGTGTTTAAAACTTAAATTTTCAGCGGGTGCGGCGTTTCTACCCATGCGGCATTTAGGTGCACTAAAAATAAAATATTTCCTATGATGGTCATTGTACATAGTTTGGATGGCCTTGTCATTGTGCATAGCCTGGTGCTGTTCCAACACAAAAGACCACTCAGTTGCTTTTTGCAAATGTTATTTTGTTTACTTTCTTTCCTTTGAACGGACCTACATGCCTTATTCACCCTAAACGAGATCTCAGAACAATAACATTCTTCCCCCTTTCAAATCAACATTCTCATCAGTTTGAATAGTCTCTCTCCTCTGGACCCATCCTTTCCCCACCCCTGCCTTTTCTGCAATTTTTTTCAAAGGCGGACACGACTCCACCTGCCTCGAAATAACGAACTCTGACGTATTTCCCCTTCAGCATGAATGGATTTTTCTTGGCATTCTGCCAAATATAGATCCCATCAGTTTGGGTACAAGTACTTGTTGGATAGTTTTTAATTAGAGAGCGGAAAATTTTTGAAAATGTCTCTAAACGGCACAGAAGAGAAGCTATACATTTCTTACCTTTAATTTATTTTTGAGTTATGGTTTAATTTCATGCATTTTTCTTAACTGGTATGTCATATATCAGGACTTAGGTTGAGTTTTTGCATCTATACGGCCCACGACGATGTCACGCGCAATTTAATCTATTGCGGCGTTTACGCTGATGCAGCGTTTCTGTGTAATTTTAATTCTTTTCCCGCCATTTTTCTCGAGTGCGGCGTTTACGCTGATGCGGCCTTTCTTCCGGAAATTACAGTAATAACTGCTTCCCACAAACCACTGAAATTTGGTGCTCTAGGTGGAATTAGTTTCCAATTTATACCTTCAGATGTTAAGAAATCTGCTATGTCAGAATTAGATTTAAGGACTCAGCTATGCAATTTTTTCAGTTCTGATTTTGCACCAACCATATTAGTACCATTATCTGACAATATAGTATTACATTTTCCACGTCTAGCAATAAATCTTTTAATAGTAGCAAGTAATGAATCTGTGGTTAAATCAGTTACTACCTCTAAATGTACTGCTTTAGTAGCTAAACATATGAATATAACAATGTACACTTTTGCATAATTACCCTTTCTCTGATTTTTATACTTAATGAGGAATGGACCAGAAAAATCGAGTCCACAAGTATTAAATACAAACCCTGGGTTAACTCTTCCATTAGGTAAATTTCCCATAAGTTGTTCACATACAATTAGTTTAACCTTAAAACATGTTACACATTCATGTACAACCTTTCGAGCTATATCTCGACCATTAATAACCCAAAACTTACTACGAACCTGATGCGCAATAGTGCTTGAGCACCAAGATGTAAATATTTAACATGGTAATACTGAAAAATTAATCTAGTAAATACATGATCTTTTGGCATTACATAAGGAAATTTTTGGTTGTAATTAAGATTACTATTGGCAAGTCTGCCTCCTACTCTCTGAAGAGAATCATTATCTAGAAATGGACATAAAAATTTTACCTTACTTTTGGAAAAAACACAATTCTTATTTTTTAAAGATAAAATATCCTTGCTAAAATGTTGCAACTGTACATACCTGATCATGATTTTCTCAGCGTCATCCAATTCTTTAACAGTTAGAGAATCTATTAAATTTTTTCCCTTACAATTGGCTATAAATCTACAAACAAAACTTAACACACGAATAATACGAATATAGTTATTACTGATGTTAAGAATATGATCTAAAATAAGGGAATTAGAGTTCACATTTAAATTAACTAAGTCATTATCCTTAAGTTTGAGTTCTTTGACGTATTCCACATCATCCATATCAGATGAAATTACTTCACAAGGATTAGTCAATTCATGATTTATGGTGGTATGCACCAACTTCCTTAGTCAAGAAAGTTGGTGCATACCACCATAAATCATTATGAAAAAGATCTTTAGGTTCAGCTCCACTGATATCAAATCAGCTGGATTATTGTGAGTGCTAACATGGTACCACTCATGAACAGCAGTCATGCTGCGAATAACAGATACATTAGCAACAAATGTCTTTAGTTGATAAGGTTCCTTCTTAATCCATGATAACACTATTGACAAATCAGTGAAATAATACACCTTCACTATAGGCAGCTGAATGGCTTCTAATATTCTTTTCATTAGTTTTACCAACAGAACTGCACCTCAAAGTTCCAAACGAGGAATGGTAATTGACTTCAAAGGTGACACGCGAGACTTGCTGCACAGAAGTCTTAATGAAAATCCATTCGAAGATGACATACATTTCACATAAATTGCAGCCATAGGCTTTCTGACTAGCATCACAGAATCCTATAATTTCTATTTGTTGTAATCCATTGGTTAAAACAAATCTGGGAATGTGATAATCGTTGACTATTTTGACACTATGCAGAAATGCTTTCCATTCTTCAAAGTAATTTTTAGGAATTGGTGTATTCCAATTTAATTTTAAAAGCCAAAGGTTTTGTAGAAATATTTTAGCTTTTGTCATAACAGGTCCAATTAAACCTAACGGATCAAAGAGACAACCTATTGTTGATAAGACATCTCTTTTCGTTCCTCTTTCTTTAATGTCAAGTATCTTTAAATCGTAAGAAAAACAGTCTGTAGACGTATTCCATGACATTCCTAAGGCCCTTTGTAATCTGAGGCTTATCCATAACTTGAAAGGAGTAATCCTGATTTGCACTTTCTTTATTCTTCAATAATTCTGGATTATTGAAAGCCTTTGTGTAACTGTATTCCACCACATTCTAAAAGACAGGTTAACTGTGTCTGCAACTCCTTGGCTTCT